TAACTCAAAGTCAATTACGTGATTTTTTTTCATGTTGGGTTAAAAATGGGATTTTTATTTCATGATTTATTTGACATTTTTTACAACACAGAAAAAGCCTATGCTCTGGCCATTATCACTAATTCATATGAAATATTGTGAAAAAATACATTTTACACTTACAAAAATAGTCATGTTTGAATTTGTTCTGTTTAATACAGTTTACTGAATAAATTGGTGACAATAAAATTGATATTTTTCACAAAAAGTATTGTCGCTAAAAATCCCGATTTGGAAATATTTTACTATTGTGTGTAAAACATAGGCCAAATGATACAAATATTTTTTGCGCGATTTCGCCTAAAAAAACCACATTTTAAAAACATTAAATAATGTAATTAGTATTTAATAATGATGAATGTAATAAGTAATGTATGTGTGATGTTTGTGAGTTGTTATGTGTTGTTGATATGTGGTGTGTGTATAGTTTCTTGTTGTTGTTTATTATTTCTTTCTCATCATATTCTACGTTTGTCTTGTAGCGTTTTCTTGGTTCCACTATTCTCCATCTCTTGGCGTCCCGCGCACGCGTGTCAGCAATGAGACGCGTGTTGGAAAAAACCAACAAGAAGATTAACACGCAAGACTTCGTGAGTACAGTAGAAGAAAACAACACTTTATTCATTGCTAACAAATTAACATTAATTCACTCACAAACACATTCAATACATCACGTTCTAAAAAATTAAATTTAGTAATATTCTTGGTTATAATACTGAGATGATTTTTTTTTATTTACAACTGGTTGAGAAATATTTTCCACTCAGTAGGGGAGACCACCTTGACCGTTATTATTTGTTTTATTAATACAACAAAAATAAACTACAATGCATTACTACATTTTTGTCAATATTATTACCATTAATATTAATACAGTACAGGTGCTGTATTATCCTATAATTATTAATTTCATAATACCTATTACCATCATCATTAATTCAGGTACCTACTTCATTCTTGCATTGCCATATTATTGGGGTTTTTTTAATTATCATTAACAAAATGAATAATAATTATTATCAAAATTATTATTATTAGCATCAATATTATTATTATGATTATTATAATAATACTGAAGTATCACTATTATTACCGGTAGGCGTTAATAAATTATGGTAGTTATAAATTATTTCAGGTACTTTTACGTTTGCGTAATATTTGTTAATTGATATTCTTGGGTTGTGCGTGTTCAACAAACTTGATGTTGATTATCATTTCATTGCAGTATGGACGCACACCACTACATTACTGTCTACAGAATGAGGGGCTGACGCACGAGCAACACAAGGAAGTCGCAATTATCAATATCACCTTTGGCGCGTCAGTGATAATAAAAGAGACGGTAATGTACAGAAAAATGAAATGCATCAAAAGAATATCAGTCAATGACCTTAATACAACAACTGTATATGAAACTACTTGAAACATTTTTACTAATTAAAACCAACGTAATAAATATTAATTCAAACAAAATTAAATCGAAAAAAAAATCATACGAGTAATAATGTTGATTTTTAAAAAGTTTTAGAAGTATGAGTTTAATAATGTTTATTATCAATTAACTGGATGGTAATTTACAACATAATTATAATGTCGTGATGATAACATTGTCGAGTGTTCGTTAGATATAATATTAGTTTTATTATTATCTTTGAGTATTTAACTAAAATATATCACTGCTTTCTGTTTATTTCGTTTTTAATTGTCTTGCAATGGAATGAATCATCGCGTGCTCGTGTCTGTTATTGCAGGAAGGAAAGACGCCTCTTGATTTGTATGATGAAAATAAATGTAAAAGATACGAAAAAACCACGAGAAGTAAAAAGAAACAAGATTTAAAAGAATTACTTGAAAGTACGTTGATTGACTTATTAAATATCTGTGGAATCAAATCTTCAAACTCTATTTAAAACAGTACTTATCATACACCCGTATTACGTTTGACATTTATTTTTTTTTAATTTGAAATTCTACACAATTAATTTACTATTTCCACATTATGATTATCGTAAAAAGGTTTATTTCATCGTAAATAAATAATCAAAAATATAATCAGTATCAAAAAACAAAATACTAAATATATTTTTTGTATATGAATTAGGACTATCAATTCCGTCAGAGATTTTATCCAGGGGTCCTGATGCGGTCAAAGCATTCAAAGATGCACTTAAAAACGGTGAAATAACAGTTGTTAATTCAAGACTGATGTTTCTTGGTCAAGAGGGTTCCGGTAAAACCTCTTGTGTTAAAGCCATGCTGGGAAAAGAGTAAGTACAACAAAATGCCTTGTATTAATTCTATAAAATTGTATTTTTATATTATATGGATCATTATTTTCCTTGCCTTCCTTTTTAATCGGTTTCAATATTTTTACGTGCAGTACAGTCCGTGCGTTTTCTACTGCAATTTAACTTTCAATATTCTTTGCTTTTTGTCGTGCACGCGCTTG